TTTTTTTTGGATTGCTGGGATGTGAAAGCTTTTTTTAGATCTGAAAAATCAATCGAAAATTGGGAGAAAGGATTATGCAATGTCTTCCGTCCATAGAGTTCTGTGGTTGATGGACCATTAGAAAACACATTTTCAGGTCGCTTTCGTTTCACTCACTTTGTTCAGCCAGTTACGATCACCCATGAACGTGATTGCTTCCTTGATTGACCAATTGGTACAGGTGAGTAAAGAAATTGACCTTTGAAAAGTAAAACTGTAACGCAACCCCATTTTATAGGCAGTCGTCTCTAACAAACGCTTGAAGCAATATTTTACGGCGGACGAACTCGATCCTAACGTCGTCGAGAGAGATTTGAGGACTGAAAGTAAGCACGACTATTTTTCAAACTTATTCGGGCCGTTTACCATTTCAACTGAAAAATTTTTCTGTGAATTCTAGCCACTTACATTTCTTTTTCAAGATCCAAAAGCAGTTGTCCACTTTGAAGACTTCTCAGCAACTTGGGACTGCGACGATGGTCGATCCACTACTTTACAGGTTTTTTGCCATATTTTTGAGTTTCTTCTCGTTCGTTATCAAAATTATATTTAAGGATGTCAATTTCACAGCCGCTAAAGGAACCTTTATTGCTGTGGTTGGAAAGGTTGGCTCGGGGAAATCTAGTTTGTTATCGGCACTTCTGGGTAAGTTTATGCTATGCAAAAGATTATAATGGTTTATGGCGTTTTCTTCCAGGCGAAATGGGTAAATTACGCGGTAGGATAGGAATGCACGGTAAAGTCGCCTATGTTCCTCAACTACCATGGATTCAAAATATGACTGTGCGGGATAATATTTTGTTTGGAAAACCCTATGATAAACGGAGGTATAATCAGGTAAGCACTTTTACCATTCAGCTATTTGTAAATAAATATAGCCATATAGGTACTTTCTGCTTGTGCTCTTAAACAAGACCTCAAAATACTTACAAACGGAGACATGACAGAAATTGGTGAAAAGGTAAGAAGTCAGTTGGAATTTTCTGAGCTACAATGATTCTGCTTAGGGTATCAACCTCTCCGGTGGCCAGAAAGCTCGAATATCGCTGGCTAGAGCTGTGTATCAAGATTTTGATGTCTATCTGCTTGATGATCCTCTATCGGCTGTAGATGCTCTTGTTGGTAGACATACCTATGAGAACGTAAGTGTTGAT